CCGAAAGGTGATGGCATTTTCATGCACAAGAAACTCTGCTTGATAGTGACTTCGAACTTGTTGGTGATTCCTCTGCCAAAAATGGCAGTGTATGGGTAGTCCATGTTGACTTTATCAAATGTTCTCTTTTTGGTGTGAACCCTTTCACCCTCGACGAAGGATACTAGAAATATTTCTTTCCTATGGCATCTATTTTCTTTCCACCGAAGCCAAATAAGGGATTTCCAGTTGGTCCCGTTGTTCGCCTATCTAACCCCATTGCTTCAAAAGATTTAATGAACAGAATGTATGCTGAACTGTCGGTGTCCACGAGAATATTGTGTAGTGTGTATCCTGCTACATTCGCCACTGTAATGAAGGCATCTGTGTGAGGGTAATCTCGAACATGGAAATCTGACTCATTGAAAGTGACAAGAACCTGGGACCAAGCTGGTCTGTTCATTGGTAATCTCGGCAAAATGATGTGTACCCTTCTCTCGTAATCGCACCTTGCACGCTTGCTTTCATGTTCTTGGTTGGATCCACCCGTAATTGCAAAAATGTGTCCATGTGAGGGCAGGATACTATTTACTGTTTGTTGATCTTGTGCATTTTCTTGTTTGGCTGGCACTGGATGGCTTGTTTGCTGCTGTTCTGGCTGATATGGCTAAGACATTGCTGTAGACTGGCTTGGGTGATAACCATATGACAACGGGCCATGTAAGGTCAATTCGGTCAGATGAAAGGTGGTTGGGCGAAACCCTACATCATTGTGGCTTGATGAATCGAGTTACTGCTCGATGGGTAATATGATTGGTTGTAAGACTGAGTGTGCGTGTTTTCACGCTAGGCATTGTGAAACACATGTTTCGGGGCTTCGCTAGACCTAGAAGCATCGTCTTTTTCCTTAAACTCTCTTGCCATTTTGCTGTATTTGCAATCTCTGGTAACAAGACCGGCATTTTTGCCGCACACAAAACAATAAGGTGCCCTTTGGCCTCTTCCTCTTCCACACCCTTCGCGTCCACCCCGGAAACCTTGGCCTCCTCTATCGCCGCATGAAGTCTGGTCGAAGTCGCGGTGCTCTGGGGCTTGCGAGCTGTTGAACTGAGCGTGAGCTTCTACTAAATTAGATTGGTTTGACTCTTCTTGCAAATTGTTTATAGTGCGAAAAGGATTGACATTCCTCTGCTGTTGTGGTTGGATTGGTCTAGGTGCCTTGGCGGCCTGCCTGGTCGAAATGCGTCCTGTCTTTCACCTTGTGTAATCATAGTGTGATCTGGTATACTGGTTCATGATCTCAAACAAGTCGCTCACAGTTTCTGGTGGTGACCTGGCGGGAAATGACGTGCACTGACCTGTGGCTAAACCCTCAATAGCTGTGGCGATAACTGCTGCTTTAGGGACGTTTGGCGCTTGCACTTTAAGCTGAATGAATCTTTCGATGTAGTCGGATAAGGGTTCATCTTCTCGTAGCGCACAGTTCATCCGATTGCGAGTGGTTTTCGTTTCTGGCTGACAGCCCTAGAGTGTCACCAGGAGCTCTGTCTTGATCTGATCCCAAGATTGGATCGAAAGGGGACCAATCATGAGCGATGCCTTCGATAGTCATGATAAAGGATTTCGCCAATGCTTGAGTATCTCTTCCAGCGGAAATGACTGCTGCCTTGTAACTTCCTAGAAATTTTCTGGGGTTGGATTGCCATGCGTGGCTTATTGTTCTGTGGCCAAGGATGCTGTTGTAACTCCCTTGACAGTGGCGAAGTCTAATCGTACCTTGCCAGGTTTTTGCCCTGCCTTCTAAGCTATGGCTGAAAGATGTCATCGCCTCCAGGTCAGGCATTTTCGCCATTTGCCCTCTGTATTTGCTAAATTTCTCTATTGAGTTTGATTCGCCTCTGTTCAGTTTCCCTTATCAAATTCTGCACTTGCTTGGCTTTGTTTCAGTCTACTACTTGCTGCAGAAGCTGCTACTTTGGCTGTTCTAATCTCTAGATTTTGTGCTATCATTCATTCAGCTTTCGCAATGCCCTTGCATGCTCATGTGTTTCATCTTCATCCTCATCCTCTTGGAGCTCAAGATCTTGCACATATCCCTTTGGGGTATCTTCTCGTGTGCCTGGTGGTGTTGTTTCATCACTTGGTATTTGGGGTGCTGTTAGCTCAGGTAGCTACAGAACGGCGACACCTGGGAGGACTACTGTAGCTATGATGACCTCTTTTTGTTGCGGCTGCTTCCCTGGTTGCCGCTGCTTTTGAACTTTCGGTTGCATCGCTCATGCCTTTTGCTCCTTTCTTTGGGGCCATGACAAGCTCGAGCAACGACCATGGTGGCCTTCAATGTTGTTTTAGGCATTAGCCTTCAAACGGTGGGTGTTGCAAAGCTATGGGATGCACACGAAGTGAGAATGGTGAGGCGAATGCGAAGGTATATAAGGACGAAGTAGATCATTGGATTGTTAATTTCATTATTTTCTCTCCCTTTACAGTCCCCTTGGAACCCTTTTTATACACGTCCGTAACTTTTCTTGGGACCTAAATACCCCTCTACCTACCCTACACCAAGGGCATATTTCTACATTCATGACCATTCCGATCCAAGTGATACCAGCCTCCCCGGTTGATGCTTACCCCAAGTGGCACCTGCACGGTCGTCCGGCTCAGGAGATGAGATATGGGGACCACTTTCCCCCAATTCTGCCTCGCTCTTTGTGAATCGGAGCTTCCGATTTCCACCAGGCTCTAGTCATTTCGCACTCTTCTCCTGCCTCTTGTCTTCGGTAGGACGAAGGTACGTCTAGGAACCTGCTACACACATAAGTGAAAAGACGATTGTTACCGTTAAGCAATGACGATGGCAATAAGGCTCATGCGATGTTAATCAACCCTTCGCCATCTAGGGCAACCCCCCCCCCAATTCGCTCCTTGGCGAAGTGTCAGCCCCTTATCACCGGCAAAAATTAATCCCAAGCAAAGGTACAGACGACAATGGGCGAATGGTGGTGCTAAAAGGGTGTGCCACGCCCCAACAATCTTAAGGGGGGTAGAGTTTATAGCTAGTCCTATGGTTCCGAAGTCATCTGGTATTGATGTCATTTTGGGTATGGACTGGCTGAAACAAATGATGGCAGTTATACAGTGTGAGAGTAAGTCAGTACAATTGATGACACCATCAGGGGAACAAATTGAGATAGAAGTTACCATATCAGCCAAACATTATTATACGGTTAATCAATTGAAGGGTACATCTGTAGTGGATATACAAATAGTAAATGAATATCTTGATGTCTTCCCTGATGAGTTACCAGGTATGTCACCCAAATGAGATATAGAGTTTATAACTGAGCTTTACCTGGAACTACACCTATAGCTAAGAGACCATATAGAATGGGATCAACGAATTAGCAAAACTTAAGAAACAAATAAGAGAACTACTAGATAAAGGTTATGTCTGACCTAGTTCTTGACCTTGGGGAGCACCAGTGTTGTTTGTTGAGAAGAAAAATGGAACACAAAGAATGTGCATAGATTACATATCTCTTAATGAGGTGACTATTAAGAATAAGTATCATTTACCTAGAATCATGACTTGTTTGATCAGTGGAAAGGAGCATGTGTGTTTTCCAAGATCGATCTCCGATCTAGATACCATCGGCTGAGAATAAGACCTTCTGACATTCCTAAAACAACTTTCGTGACTAGATACGGACTATATGAATTCATAATCATGTCCTTTGGTCTGACAAATGCACCTTCTTACTTCATGTATATGATGAGCAAAGTATTCATGAAGTACCTTGATAAGTTCATAGTGGTACTTATTGATGATATATTGGTGTTCTCTAAGAATGAAGAAGAGCATGAGGAGCATTTGAGGCTAGTCTTGCAAAAGCTTAGAGAACATAGCTTTCCTTGGTCACATTGTCTCCAATGGAGTGGCAGTAGATCCTATGAAGGTTAAAGATGTGCTAAATTGGAATCCGCCTTAGGATGTGAGTGAGATTCGGAGTTTCCTTGGTATGGCTTGGTACTACAGAAGATTCATTGAGGGATTATCAAAGATAGCAAAACCTATGATTGCTCTGATAGAGAAGAATGCTAAGTTTGTATGGTCCAAAGAGTGCTAAGCTAGTTTTGAGGAGTTGAAAAAGATATTGACATCAACCCCAATACTAATATTACCTAACATCAATAAAAGCTTCTCTATCTATTGTGATATCTCATGGCAAGGTCTTGGTTGTGTTCTTATGCAAGAAGACAGAGTTGTTGCCCATACATCTAGACAGCTGAGAAAATATGAGTTGAACTATCCGACCCATGATCTGGAGTTAGCAGATACAGTATATGCTCTCAAGATATGGAGGCATTACCTAATCAGACACATAAGTGTGAGGTTATAAAAGTCTAAAGTATATATTCACTTAGTCAGAGTCAGATCTAAATTTGAGGCAACATTATTGACTAGAGCTAATAAAGACCCACACTGAAGTCGTCAGATCTAAATTTGAGACAACATCATTGACTAGAGCTAATCAGAGACCCACACCGAAGTCGTCGGTTCGCAGTTCTGAACAAAACCGATCGGCTAGTGATTCTGAGAAACCAAAGTTTTTAAAAACCGATTAAACCAACCGACCTTTCAATTTTAACCGATTGCCCAGCTGGGATGACCGAAAATCCGATGCCTCAGTCTCACGCCAACGCTCTTCCCCCAACCTGTACGCATCCAGTAGCAAGTCTACACCGCCATCTGCACCACACTTCTATGTGTACATGAAGCACGTCTTCGGGCAAATGCAATATTCAAGTCCCGACAAATGCAGTGTTCAAGTCCCGACAAATGCAAAAGCTAATTAAAAATTATATTTTTTTTGAAGCCACGCTAATCATACTCCAAATTATTGATCATTCAGTTGACACGCAAATTAATAGTACACAAGAGAAAAATTTTGGTCGACGCAATTGCCTGATCTTCAAAGCACAGATAATCTGTGTCTCCACAGGTATTATGCAGCTATCGATTACTTGTTGGCACCAGCTTCATCAGGCGTTTTGGTAGTCATTTGGTCCACAGCATGCACAGTGCTCTGAAGCTCCTCCCATATAGCCTTGTAAACCATTCTCTGCCTATTTACAGCAGATTTTCCCTCAAATGCCTTGGAAACCACGTCTATGCTGCATAATAGAAAAGAAATGGTTAGTTCAACTTCATAATTATATATTTTTTGGAAACAAAAGACCAGTAATAAATCAATGATAAAATAATAGAAAAAATGCAGAAACATCCTAGCATATCCAAAACAAACATAATGTTGTCACCTAACATGTAAGGAGCATAAACAGAAAAATGTCCAAAACAAATATTTAAAAATACAATAAAAAGAGGGGAAAGGAACAATCATCACCAAACCGAAATGGCAGAATGCACATGCTCTAGGCAGGCTTCTGATCAATCCCTATCCCTGAACCTGCTTGTGCTGTATGTCTAGAAATCATATCTCACAAATCACCAACAACACGAAGGTATATAGTCTCACAAGTGAGTTACCAACTAGCCACTAATGTAGTCTTGATGCTTGCATTATTGTGTATAGTGAATACACTATATGGTATATATGCATATATAGTATGTACCAACTAGGACCGACTAGGCTAGTCAGTCTGGTCAATGATACTAGCGAACATTGATACTGCAGCTAGCACAACAGCTGCGACATTCGCCACACTTGTCTTCACTGGCACTGCCCTGCTCTACCAAATGATGCCTTACTGTCATACTCTGGCACTGCCACCAAAGACGTACACAAGGTGTTTAAGGTATCACCGTGTTGGAATTCAGTCAGTAATTGCTCCTTCTCTGGAAACTTTTGCACATGTCATGTACTATGCACATGACATCCTGTCCAAAAGGACTTTGACATGCTAAGGATGTATGGCCAAACATGCCCTTGTAGTACTTATTTGGTAGCATGGCTATGGCCAAGTAGTAGGTGTACTTGTAGTTGTTGTACAAAACCTCTTGTAATAGTGTAAACCATGTATATATGCAAGCATATGGACCAGCTGCATCCTTAGTTCAAGGACCGTTCACTAATGTGTGCTCTGATCTCCCCTTTACTTATACCTCCAGTTGTGTGCGTGTGGTGAATTAACAAAGCCGGCCAACAAGTAGTATTACAGCCACGGTTGGGTGGTCATCGGCATTGTCAGGAGAACACCCTCTCCCCCCAGTCAGCAGATAAGCATTTGTGGTGCAAAGGACTGGCAGGGAGGTTAGAGGAGGAAGTGCTCCATACCCCACGCTTACCCGCACCAACTATGGTGACCGGTCGGTGTTCATGAAGCTGATACTCCAAGATCAAGGTTTGTGGCGCGCGGTGAACACCGGCAAAATAAGGACGCGCCAAAGCTCGTCTAGGACAGCCTCACGTCCATTCGTGTGGACTCTGACCATGTGCGCCGAGCAAGGGTGCACGCAGCTCCGGTGGGAGTATGAGGCTATCACATTCTAGGAGTGTGAGGACTGAGGAGGTGGACTTGGCACTGCGCCTGCAGTCATTGGTGAGTCAGCTCGCAGTACTCGACAAAACCATTGACGAACAACAAAACATTGCCATGTACTCGTGGGTGGTTCCACCCAAATTCACACAGATTGCGCTTGTCAATCTGTCCACCCTCACAATTCAGGATGTGACCGGGTAGCTCAAGTGGAGAACTGAGACAAGACGGTGGCGCAGACGACAGCATGTAGAAAGCTGCTCCTCACTGAGGAGTGGGCGGACCGCATGCGCGAGCAGCAGCCAGTGCAAGGCTCCGGCTCGTCCAGAGGAGGCGCGGAGTGGTGACGAGGAAAACCGCCACCATGGTCGTGACAGAAAAGAGGAGGCGCCACATGTCTCCAACCACAACACTTGCCACAAGTGTGTCAAGACGAGCCATTGAGCCCTGGATTGTAAAAATACCACGCGCCAGTCTTGTAGTAGTGTCTTGTAGTTGGTGTACAAAACCTCTTGTAATAGTGTAGACCATGTATATATGCAAGCATATGGACTAGCTGCATCCTTAATTCAAGGAGCACCATTCACTAGTATTCATGCGTGTGTGCTCTGATCTCCCCTTTACTTCTACCTCCAGTTGTGTGAGTGTGGTGAATTGACAAAGCTGGCCAACAAGTGGTACTAGAGCCGCGATTGGGTGATCATCGGCATTGTCAGGAGGATGCTCTCTCTGAGGACTGGCATGAGCACCGGCCACCCTAGTCACCAAAACGATAGCCATTCGTGGTGCAAAGTACGGTAAGGGAGGTTGGAGGAGGAAGAGCCAGTACCCCCATGCTTACCCGCACCAGCTGTGGTGACTGGTCAGTGTTGATGAAAGTGATACAAGATCAGGGCTTGTGGCACACGGTGACTCCGGCAAAATAAAGACACAACAAAGCTCGCCTAGGACAGCCTCAGTCCATTCGTGTGGGCTTCAACCGCGTGCGCCGAGCAAGGGCGCACGCAGCTCCGGTGGGAGTATGAGGCCATCGCATTCTAGGAGGGCAAGGCGATGGACTTTGCACTGTGCCTGCAGTCGTCTGTGAGTCAACTCGTGGTACTCAATGAAATCATTGACACACAAGTCATTCAAGTACCTGCAGATGGTTCCGTCCAAATTCACGCAGATTGCACTTGTCGATCTGTCCACCCTGACAATTGAATGTGACCGGGTGGCTCAAGGCAGTGGAGAACCAAGTGGTGGCGGTGGCGCAGATGGCAGCAAGTAGAAAGCTGCTCCTCACAGAGGAGTGGGTGGCTCACGTGCGCAAGCAGCAACTAGGGCAAGGCTCAAGCGCAGAGCTGTGTATCTTTGTATTATTAAGAAGAAAAGGGGGCAAGAACCCTTACCACACACACCCATACATCTTATACATCAATACCATAGCAAAGATCCTGGCATGCTTTCATTGGAAACCTCAATAGAAGTACAATTGTTGAATTGTTTGTTTCATTTAAATTGACGGAACAATCATTACCACTGATCACTCAGTTGAGTGTATGAATTTTCTTAGGTGTTGATCATTGGTGATATGTTGTGATTGGCCATCTGGGGAGCCTCTGTTCCAACTATTTCATTTTATTGTAAAAGGCTGATTAACTATCAAGTTTGCACCAATTCCATTCAAAACACCTAAAATAAACTTCTTTAAAGTTAACAACTAATCCCATGCCATACTAAACTAGCTTAAAAAAAAAAGGGCGTACCCAGTGCAGAGAGCTCCCGCTCTGTGCGGGGTCTAGGGAAGCGTGTTAGTGGCAAGCCTTACCCTCGCCTGTGCAATGCGAGGAGACCGCGACTCGAACCCGGGACCTTCCGGTCACAGGCGATAAGACTCTACCGCTTGCACGGACCTGGCTTATAATAGGTAAATGAAATTGAAAATCCTCTATTATAGCATATAAAAGCAAACTTTTTGAGAAAAGGTCTCAATTTGTCTTTGGTTAACTTTCATTCAGAACTTACAAGTGACAACTAAACTAGAATCTAATACCTTGGTTACTTTTGATTACATAGACATCATTACGCCTGTCGTTGGGGAGGGTATGGGCAAACCCGCACCTATCCATACCCACATCCATGTCTTGCTTACCCACATGTTCCTCTCCCCACTTTTATTCATACCCGATTCCCCAATATTCATTGGATAATTGAGTAGTGGGTAAACAGCCTCATCGTCATCAGCTAACTTAGCGAGAGCTTGGTCAGCTGCATGCACAGGCTCATTGTTGCCAAGCCTGGCCACTACTAGGACGCACTCGACGCGCACCTTGACGTTCCTGGTGAGGCTTGCCGCCACAGCCGCGTCGGCCACGGAGCGTTCGGTGCCGGCACCACCATGTCCACGCTCGAACAAGGCGTAGTCGATCCACAGCACGCCCGGTCCTCCTCGCTGCCGCTGCCGTCCGTCTCGTTCCGGGCGCGCCACTCCTCGAACTCGAAGAGCTCCCGGCAGGGCGGCGCGCCGTCTTTCGAACAAGGCATCTTGACCCGAGGCTGCGCTTGAGACATCGGCGTGGTCGGCCCAATAGCCAGGCGAAAGCACAGCCTTGAGAAAAGGCGATGCAAGCAGGCGAAACGCACGTGCGAGTAGTCAGCGCGATGGGCGGTCAACGGATTCGGACACTCGAAGGAGCGTTGTCGTGCGGCCAGTGAAGAAGACGGAGAAGGATGAGCAGAATAGATAGAATACCCTCCCCATACCCGCTTCTCAACGGATATTACCCATACCCAAACGGGTATGTTATTTTCTACCCATACCCTCCCCGTTTCAAGTGGATACTGATGTGAATACTGGGTATGAATACCCGGCGACAGGCTTTCACATCATGATAAAATGTTTTTTCAAAAAACTCTCACTTATGGAATAGAAATATCTTAAAACACACTTCAATTCATGTAAATGTATTCAGCACACAAACTGAAGATAAAGCAAGATGGCAACTCACTACATTTTTTTTTTTTTTGGTTCTGGCAGTAGTAGCACTACAATGCCAAAAACAAACAATTCTCAAATCTTTAAGCAAAAACACTATCATCTCCACATCAATCACCAACAATGCTTCACATAGGAACATTTCTAAAAGAACAAGTTACAAACTATATAGCGCGCACACACACACTGATACAACTACAAAAGAACCCTGTTTTCTTTGATACAGACTCACAGAATGCATATGCATTCACCATGTCCATGTGAGTTTCAAAGACCTACTGAGCATGTAGCACATTTGTTTCTTGGCATCCCAGCAAATGTAAAGAAACACAATATCAATGTTTTTAGGTGGGTGGGGGGATTGTTACTCACCAGACATGGCGGCCATCCCCAGAGGTATCCACAACCGTGACTGTGTCCGCCTCCAGCTGCTCCTTGATCTGCCAAGAAACAATACAAACAGAAACGAATCTGTCAGTCGCTAAGGCAAACGACAGCGTAGGAACGCTTATCCTGGCATCTGAATTACAAAACAAAGATTAGAATCAGAAAGCTAGACCGGGGAGGCAAGCGAGGTACCTTAGCCTCTAGCGCCATTGTAGCGGGGGAATCCGCAGACCCCACCGGCCCCGGCGCCGATGCCCAGACCGCAAACCCCCGGATCCTGGGGCTGCTGGAGTGGGTGGAAGGGGACCAGGTAGTGGTGGGGCAGGTGGAGGGCTGGGAGGAGACAGCAGACGAGGCGTGGTGGCGGACCGAATAGACAGAAGAGGACGAGCAGGATGCGAATCGGTGGAGCAGCAGTCCTGCAACCGAGCACGGCGCGGCGGCGGCGGACCTCAGCGGCAGCATCGTCTTTGCCGTCTGAGAGCTGAAGAGAGGACACGAGGGGAATTCTACGGCCGTGGTTGCTTGGGGTTTCCACAGCCTTACACAGACTCCTGTTTCACGGGGGCCTGTTTGCCTGTTTGGTTCACAGCTTCACAAACATGCCGGGTCCAGGCAGCTTCTCTAGGCGTCCAATTTAAAACGCCTGGGCTAGGATTCCTAGCCTGGCACGCCTCAATCCAAACAGACACTCATTTCAGACAAAAAATAATTGAAACTCCAACCAAAAGAATCGGGATCATAATAGAAAGAACCAAAACCAAAAACTTCAATTAGCGCGTGTTCAGTTTTAAAAATACTTTCAAAAAAGTGCTATAGTACCCGTCACATCGAATCTTACGATACGTGCATGGAGCAGTAAATGTAGACGAAAAAAAAAACTAATTACACAGTTTGGTTGGAAATCGTGAGACGAACGTTTTGAGCCTAATTAGTCCATGATTAAACACTATTTGTCTAAATAAAAACAAAAGTGCTACAGTACCTAAATTCCAACTTTTTCTCCAACTAAACACAGCCTTACTTGTTGGGTACTCATTTCTCAAGAACTTAAATTTTACTCGGTTAGTTTGGTTCAAAAGGCCCAATATTTGAGTCCAGCCCGATAACCATTTGGAAATCTTGATATAAATTCGATCTCAAACCCTAGGCCTCGAAACACAGTCTTGTTTTTTCCAGGACAGGAGTGGACGCACCCTATCGACAAGCTGAGATGGACGTTCCAGCTACCGGCCAGCAAGGTTCAGGCACCCTTCATCCATGGAAGGTGAAGTAGGTGTTGTTGGAGTATGATCCGAATTTTGACGCTTGTGGTGGTCCATGGTTCGGGTTATGTTAATTAACGAATTTGTTTTTATATTGGACTGTAGTCCGTCCACCCTATATATACATTTTGTAATCCGTACGAAATGAGTATATCCTTGTTCTGATAAACTCTTCTCAAATAGTGAAAATTGTCGGTTCCGTCCAAGGTTCTTTTCCACGTAAAAATATGTTTCTCGTTTTCTATCTTTATTGTATTATTTTCCACCAAGTGATATCTAAAACCAGAAATAATAAGATTGAAAAAAGAATAGAATTTCAGTCCTGTTCGTCGTCAAGCTGCAGCCACCTCATGCGTTTTTTTTTTTTTTTTTTTTGTCATGCCCTCAATTGGCCAGTTGACGTGTTCTAACATCGTGTCCAAGGCGGATTTCTGCGTCAACCTGAAGCTGGAGTTCCAATCTACAAAGCCACTTGCCCGTCACGCGCGAGACGTGTGCTGAGGCCAAGAAATACTCCATGCACGCGTATATTAAAAAAAGCTGTCCTCACGTTGATCAAGTTAGCGGCGGCTGCGGCTTCAATGAAAAGCGAACAACCTCATGCTGGTAGAAGTTCCAACTGCTGCACACAAGGGCAAGTATATATCGGTGTTGTCTCATAAGTGATCTCACACAGTGCCACATAATTTTAAGACAATTTAATAGATAGCATATACAACGGTTGTTTTTTAAGTAATTTACAATTCCTAAATTTATACATAAAATAAAAGTAAACTTGTGAGATGAATGGCAACAGTAACTCATACAATGGTATTGTCAGTGTTTTGTAGACCGACTAGTAAATATATACGATTGTCGTGCTGCTCCATGAAGACGATGGTAGAATCCAAAGACATGAAGATTTATACTGGTTCAGGCTATAGCTCTACGTCCAGTCTCAGAGATGATCGAGTACGTGTTACTCGCTTGAATGCTCTAAAGTTTTTACAATGGAGGGTGCAAGAATAATGGAAGAGGTAGGAGAATTGAGCTAGAGCCAAAAGATGGATTGCCCGAATGAGAGTTTCGAGAGCCCGATGCCTTGGAAGGGTGCTTTGACTGCCCTTATATAGAGTCCGGAGCCAGGTCATGTACAAACAAGGAGGTTCTCCTGACCGAGGGGTCGTGAGCCTGAGAGAGGGAACCTAGCTAACTTGGCTTGCAAGAAATACCACCTTGACTTGATGTAGCACACGTCTGGGTGTGGTTGTCGTCATGGTCTTACGCCCACGTCGCGGTATGGGGTGGCATGATGTTACTGTGCCGGTTGTGGCGGCAGTATAGGCACGGTGGTGATTCGCCAGCCGTCCTAGGCGACGTGGTCTCGCCGTGGCCTTCGTCATCGCCTCCTGATCTCCCAGGGGCGTCGTACGGGAGTTGGTAGCCATCCCCAGGTCGTTGGTCGTCTTGTTGCTTGCGGAGCTGGCGGCCACGATCCCGAGCTCCGAGGTCATGGCCTTCGTCGACTTGGATGGCCTCAAAGTCAAGGCCGCAGTCGTGAACCCCATCCCGTAGTGGGTGGGGTCATACACCCGTCTCGTCGAGCCATATTTGGACGGTGAGTCACCGTGCTAGCCACCACCGCTTGGTGGTGTTATCTTGTCTTTGCTGCGTGGTGCAGGGATGGTGTCTTATCGGGCCGAGGGGACTGGTCCTTGCGAGGTCAGTGCGGCGTGCTTACTTTTGTCATAGCAGGTGCGTCTGGCAGAATCTGATCTCTCCCCGACCCTCTCATGGGTCAGGGCAGGGGAGAGGTCGTGTATCGTTGCACGACGTGCAGCGAAGGCAGAGAGGAGAGGTCGTGGCCAACCCCTGCCTTAGTGCTTGGCCCGGGTCCACGTAGCTTAGTTGGGCCTCGATCGTTCAAGCTTATACCGGCTCAGGTATCGTGCGTGGGCCGCCCAAGCGGCTGACTAATCGGTGTCTTGAGATACCCGAGGTATCATAACCCCGAGAGTAGCCCCCGAGCATTTTTGCGATCATGAAGTGATCGTGAAAGCGCTGATGTCTGTGTGCACTGGATGTGGGTTCGAAGTCGTGGCTGGTCCGAGCTTCAGCACTCGACCCCTTGCGGGCTAGTGTGTTCAATTGAGTAGGTGGCTATTACATCCCATCCTATCAAGCCATCTTGATGGCGAGGTATGCGATTGCTGAGCTCGGCCGTGTCAATGTGTTGCGTATTAGGGTTCATGATCTAGGCAGGGCCAAGTGGTCTCATCAACACTGTACCAGGTCCACCTTTGGGAGGATCTCAATTTCTCTGACCTCACATAGGCATCTGACATTGGGTGTGACCTCCCGTGGTTCGCCACATGGCGCGGGGGCCTCAGACTGCTCAGTCCGCCCTTAGGCCTATAAATAAGGGCCTTCTTATCGTTTGAACCACTTGCAGCTACTTCTACAAACTTGCTCTTAGACTTTTTGAAAGGCTAAGCGAGGGAGAGAGAGTTCCTAAGGGGACAGTGAGGTTTCAAGCATGCGACCCGCTAGGGGTCGCCTACGGTGGCCGAAAGCCGGCGTTGCCCCTTCCAACAATGGGTGCTAGAAGGAGACTTGCGAGCAGGAGAGGATTGAGGCGATGCTCGGGTCAGCCGCTAGGCCTCGTGATTCTAGCGCTTCCCCGAACCCATAGGTTTGGGGTCGCTGAACCCGTAGGCAGCTCACTATCGGGGCACAGTCCTTTCTGAGGACCGCTTCCTGTTCTCGGGAAGCTGCCTGTGGTTCAGGGGATGCGTTGCAGTGCCTAGGTGTCTCCATCATGCTTTCTGAAGCATGATGGTGGTGGCCTACGGGCTTGGTCCTACCTTATCCTTTCCTCCCCGTGCGTCTCTACCCTAGAGGTTGTGATGCTACGAGAAGGGTCGTGAGGCGATTTCTCATCTCTTCCCTTCTGCACTTGTAGCAGGCACCTCTGGGCATCCCAACAATGCCGCCTTAGTGACGGCGTCATGGTTTAGTACTATGCAAGCGGCTTGACCGCTCTTGTACTTATGAATGTTGAATGAAAAGAATGTTCTTTTCCATACATTTGGGCTACCCCTGTGTTTGCGGCGAGCCTCTAAGCCGTGGGATCAGGATCGTGCCTTTGGTCTAGGGTCGCCGGAAGGGTCGTTTTGCCTTAATGATTAGAGGGATCGTTACCCCCACCTCTTTTTGCGCTGTCGCGAGGCTTTCTATGGTCGTGCACTGGCTCGTAGGTCTTGGACCTTTTGTTTTTTTCGTGTGACCGAGCCGTGATCACGCTTTGGGCTCCACTTTGCTTCACGAGGAAGATGATGCCGCGTTACCCTAGCCGTTTGCTTCATCGATCCCTCCCAGAGAGGTCATGGATCTCTGACGGTTTGCAGGTCTCCGAAGCTGGCCTTAGGTCTTGGACCTAGGACACAGGGAGGAGTTGGTCATGGCTTGGCCTCGACTTCTTACAGGGTCGTGGGGACCCAACTCTGTTTTTCCCTAGCGTCCTTGCAGAACTCGAGGGGTCATGTTGCCGTGTTACAGGTAGGCTTGGTTTCGCCCCACGCGGGGAGAGGCATGTCCACCATAACCACGTGGTCAAAGCGGTGCGCCTCGTCGGGGTCGATGGGTAATTCGAGTGGGATCCGATATCCTCCACAATTGACGTAAAGTTTGGCTGTGCCTTGTCGCGAGGCGTACCATAAATCGTCGGTCGTCAAACCCATTGGTCCCCGACCTCCTCCGCAGCGATCAGAGGTCAAGATGCCTCCCCCTAGAGGGGTCAACCTGAGCGATTTCAAAGCGGACGACTAGAACACAGAGAGACATGGTCGTGTGGTTCCGCACCACAGATAAGAGCCGTGGGGGCCCATCTCACCTTGCCCCTATCCCTTTGTGGCCTTAACCCCTTCTAAGGGTTGGCCCAAGAGTGGGTTTCCTAAGTACGACACGGGGTCATGGATGCGGTGGGTCATTCTGCGCACGGATTCAGGGGCAGTTGGCCTCCCTTGTCACATCATGGCTTAATGGCCCCCACGCACGAGCAGTCATGCACCATGGAACATGGGCGCGTAAATCAAAATGATATGAAAAAGGTGGGAATGCGTAAGGCTTACTTGGTTCACACCACAGCGTGGGGGACCGTTGCTCCGCCTTCACTCCGATCGCTCCTCCTGTGCTGTGAGATTTCCAAGATGGTTAATAAGT